AATATTAATACACTGTGTGGGTCCTATATAGACTTAGATGATAAGGGTAGGTAGTACACAAAGGTCGACTTTCAAAAGGTAGCAAAGTAAAGTAATAGGTTGAATGTGGTCTAGATAATATGTTTACATAATGATTTACATACATATGATGTGATGAAATATGATAAGGTCAGAATTTATTTAACCAAATAAAAAGAAAAAAATTCTAACTTTCTTTTTAACAAGTTATCTTTATATAAACGATTATATAACTTCTTATGTATAAAGAGCATATTCTTATCCCATGTTTCATGTTGTTGCCTTAACTTTCCTAGGACATATAAAAGATTTTTTTTGGCGTTTTACTGAAACACATATAGAGATAATGAAGAAAAACCATTGTGAACTTTTCTCCATTATAGTGAAAATCTACTGCAACAAATGGATGCAGTGAATCAGTATAAATTTGTTCATTTGATTAATTTGCAGGAAGTTTTAAGAAACACAAGGACGAAAAACTTAAATGAGTCCTAATTACCTCATGGAGTAGTTCATCATTCCATTGAGACGAAACCTACAAAATCGAGAGTTGTTGTCCAAGTAAAAAATCATGTCATGTCACTCAATGAGAGCAAATAAGATCTTTCTGCCAAGAAGAAAAACGACGAAAGAGAGAGTTACCCGTGTCGAAACCAGAAGAAAGGATGCCAAGAGAAACAGAGCAACTTTTGAAGCCATTGCTAGCAGCAGGCAGGGGAATCGAATCAAGAGAGGCCAAAACTACTCAGTAATGATTCAGATGTGGAAGTCTGGCATATATAGCACTACAAATTCACCTAAATGTCTACTTATAAGTAAATAAGTATTTTTTTTAATTGAAAAAAGCTGGAAATTAGTTATATGCCAGCTTCATTGGATGAGTGAGACACAAGTGATGGGTTTTTCTGCAGAATCAAGTTGCCCACATGCCACAGGCATTGTCTGTAAAAAAATAATATATCTATTTCATCGGATTGTGTGTGAAAAATAATTTATTAGGCAGCACATTACCCTTGTCTTTCAAACTTGTAACAAGCCTTCCAAATCTAGTCAATTAGGTGTTGCAACACTTCAAATGCTTGGATTTTAACTGGTCCGTGTGAAAAGGTGCCAGATCACATACCCAAGAAATAGTTGTCGAAGGCAGACACCTTATTTCTTAATATTAAATTTTCAAATACTTCTAATATTCATTAAACAGTATTAAAGAAGAATAAAACCTATATTCATCATTATATTGGTTCTTAATATTGGAGCTATTGTATTGTTCTATTGCATGTCCAACATGACCTTCCTAATTATGTTGGTAGAAGTGTCATTTCCAAAGATGCATTGCATCCAGTATCTTGCATCATCCATGGCTAGAACTAATGGAGCAATAATCCCGTTTGCTCTACGAGCTCTCGTCTGTAAATGACAATTGATGTTCTTTACGATCTCTACGTATTTCTTGCACGTATGTATGAATGTACATGTGTTGTGTCAAAGATTTTGTCTACCTGTAGTATAATTTTGTTTGGTTGTGTAAAATTAAGACAGACTCTTGCAACTTGCAAGGGTTATAAATTATGATATAAAACATTGGCACTGAGATCCTTCATTCAAATTCACGTGATGTCACGTGTCATTGGAACATTAGTCAAAGGTAGTCATATAATTTCAATAAAATAATATCTGATACGATCAAAAGGTATTTTAGACTTTTTACCATCTAAAATTTCTTTGAACTTGAGCAAAAAATGTCTACTATTTGAACAAAATCTAAGAGACAATATTTACACGAGAAACAAATTGAAATCATAATAAATTAATGAGAAGATTCTATTTAACAATTGTCGATTCAATGATAATTAGACTGGATTTCGAGTCGACGATTGAGCAATAGAGTTATCGAATATGCTCGACCTTTTCTTGGCTTCTCCCTTCTTCTGGCGCTCAAAATATTTTTGGGCATGACTTGCAACTTGTGTTGGGGTCCTTGTCCGAACTTCATGTCTTGATATACTCTTCCAATCTCCTTTGCCATATTTTTCCAATCCCACCAAAAATAACCTATTGTGCATAAAGGTAAGAGAGTCAAACTGTTACAACATTTAAACATAAATTTCAATCGAGCCCACATATGTTGTCCACTTGGTTGTTCTCCCAATACATTTAGGCATGACTGTTCCCCATTATTTGAATTTATAATAGAAGAATAGTATTTTTTGAAAATTATGTGATTGAAAAATTTTCGATTTGAGTGTAATATTATTTTATTGAATATCGTGTGGGTGAAAGTAGGAGATAGAAAAAATAAAATTAAATTGAAAAGTTTTAAAGGGGGCCGAAAAGGGGCTTAGTGTTTGGTATTGATTTTTCACTCCAAAAAATTAATTTTTTGATTGTTATTTTAGTATTCAAGCCATTATTTTTTATTTCTTTACTCGCAGATATGACCCACTTTAATCTTCAACTATCAAAAAATCAATTATCAAAACCAGTATTGAACAAGCCTTAGTCATATCTTCCTAACACATGAAATTGCATCTAAATGTCAACAAACACAATGACATCTTCTCATTTTATTTTATTTTATTTTATTATTTTTTTTTTGTAAAAAAAAGCTTGACGAAAACGTATTGAAATACAACCAATTGAATATCAAGCTCGAGATAAAAGATCTCAATTCAACGAAGTAAGAAAGTGAGAAAATTAGTATTAAAAGAATGTCAAAAACAAAATTGGAATAGGCAAGAGTGTACATATTACCTGTGTTCCTCCTCAGTCCAGGGTTTTGCTACTCTTTTCTGCACCTTCTTCCCGGAATCCACCAAACACTCGGATTCATCAGATTCCGCCGCCGTGTTGTCTGTATATATCGGTGGCGCAATTAACCCATCCTCGATTAATGCCAAATCATGCAACAAATCATCGTAATGTTCTTCAATTTCCATTGCCGATTTTTCCTCGAGTTTTGCAGAAATTTTAATTTTCTCCCATCGATTTGGAGTCCCGTCTGGAAATTTCACAAGATCAAACTCGAATCGCTTATTTTCTTCCCAACTCCAAGAAGAATCTGCCATAATTGCTTATTTTCTCTACTTCCCACGAGTAATATTTTGAAGATTTCTTCTTCAAGTAATCGCTTTTTATATGCAGATATTTTGGGCGAAACGAAAGATTTTAAGGGTTATATCCTGATTTGCTCTGATTTACTAACACTAACTGCTGCAAACCAATTCGATTTCGGTCAATTTTTAAACATGGAATTGGCGAACCTATTTTGGAAAGTCGATTTAGGGATCTCAAATCGAATTTTAAGAGATTTTCAATTTCAACCTCCAAATTAGTTTACAAACTAATAAAATGGGAAATTTCACTTGAAGCCATCCATCTTACTACTTCGTTTCACGTTGATCACAGAGTTTCAATTTTACCATTCCACTTTTGTTTATATTTCGATTTGGGTCGCATCGACACATTTCATGGTATCTATTAAGAGTTTGTTTCTAAAAAGTCAATTAAAATCAATTTTTTCACCGTTATTTTACTAATATAGTCGTCATTTTTGAATTCTTCTTTCACAAGTAGGACCCACTTTATCTCTAACAGTCAAAAAATCAATTATTAAAATCTCTACGAAACAAGCACTAAGTAATCGTTCACATATAAAAATGTGGACGACAACATTCAAAACTTCTAAAATATTACTTATTCGACAACGACAATTAAAATTATGTTTATTTGACAAGCATGTGAATTGTGAACGAGAATTCCGTTTCTTTTCTTCATTTTTACAATTTTGTTTTGATTTTTAGATTGTATACTATTGGTAAAGTTAAATTACATCAACAAAAGGCATAAATTAATGACCAAATCCTAGAAATTTTACTTTATAATGAAGCATAAATCAAAATTTTTGAAAAGGTGCGATAATATTATATTAAAAATTGTGGATTTAATTAACGTTAAGAAAAAGTCTTCTATTCAATGAAAGAATTTTGAGAAATGTTGCTTTCACCATAATTGAACCTTCTTTCGACGCTCGAAATATTTTTGGGCATGAGTTGTGATTTAGATTGAGTTCGTCGTGTAGAACACATTTCTTAATGTGATCGTCCAATCTCCTTCGTCATTTTTGGAAAGCATAATTCATTTCACAAACAAAATATGCGATCTCAAATAATTCTTGAATTTTTTTAGATAAATGGATTTATGTCAACAAATGGCATGTTTTTAAGCTTACTATATTAAGACAATAAACGTGAGTTTGGTTTGCGTTCTATTTTCTGTTTTCAATTTTCAATTCATTTTTGTTTTTGTTTTAAGGAATTATTTTAAGATTGCACAAAACGCGTCTGATTTCTCATTCTAAAAAATTGTCTCTAAACAAAAAACTAAAAAACTTGTTTGGTTTAAAATTTTTAGAAATAGTGTTATCACATTTTGGAGGAGCTTGGGAAAAGAGAGGAAGAGAGATGGATTTTTGTATTTGGGTAGGTTTTGGGAGACTTTAGTAATTATTTTAATTTGAAAAATTTTTAAGTTAAATTTTCTTTTTCTGAGTTTTTTGAAAACAATGTCAAATATGAGTTTTGTATTGTAAAATTTTCCTTGTTTTTGAATTTGCATTTTTGAAAATAACATATCGAGCATGTTTTGAGTGTTTAGAAAATTAAAAACTAAAAATGGCTTCAAAATGATAAATCAAACGCACTTTAAAAGTTTAGTAGAATGTTTTTCTGTCTTGTTTTCTTGATATTATCTAACTGACTTAAATTATTTAAAATTGAAAAATAGGGACTGCCAAATTTTATGCTCCACACATTAACTTAAATTTTGTAGAATATTTATAGGATGTAAATGCTGATATCGATTTGCACCCTTTCTCTTATTTTTCTTTGTGCTGTATTTAGAAATTAATTTTCTAAAAATTGCACTATTGGCCACCAATCTCTCCTCCAACGTTTTGTTTTAGCAATAGAGAAATTGATCGTCATTGTCGATAACTGATATCGTGCAGCTGAACATCACTTCCTCAGCTAGAGTTCAGGATCCTAAGAATGAGAAGCCTAACAGAATTTCTACATGTTAAATGGATCATAAACGGACCTCTTTAAGAGATGGATTGGCAATTTCCAAAGAACACTATCTTCTTAGGGTGAAGAATAAAATTTTGACCGAGCTGCACTTACAGGGAGGATTCTTGCAGATGTTTTACAGATCAATCACAATGGGTGGGATCGGTGTTATTTTTGGCCATTTTTTAATGCATCGGGTCCCGCATGGACCCGACCTCCATGAGAGTGACCTATAGAAGGTCTGTAACTTCATCATCTGTACATCCAATTTAATCCATAAAATTTTACGTTGAACCTATAACCTAATAGCATTGTCGATCCCCATTAGCAAATTTTGTTCATTTCAAGTGTTAAAAAGGCGCTTTCAACAAAAATTGTTAAAAAGTATAATTTTGTTGAAAAGACCAAAATAAACACAAATTTCTATAATTAAATAAAAATTGAGAGAGAGAGAGAGAGAGAGGTTCAGAAATCTAAAATTAATGGAAATTTTTTTTAGACCATCTGGGTGATTTTTTTCCTTAGAGTGAAATTAATAAATTATAGTGAAGCATTTTAAATAATACGAAATTGAAAATAACAAATCAGCTAAGAGAATAATTGTTTCTTGACAACAAATGGAAAACAAACTTTACTAACAATAATAATCACCGAATACACCAACAAAGTTGTAGATGGTCATAGATTTATTACACACAGTGTTAAAATGGTAATCTTTTCTGGTTCTACAGACGAGTTCACTTCGTCGTAAGAACAAAACATGAGTTGAAATTCTAAAGTTGTCAAAAACATAGGAAGCAAAGACACAATGTCATGATTCGTTTCAAACAAAAATTATTGGATAAAATATATTGGAGGATGTATGTTCTCGCTTCAAGAGTTTAAGCTAGCTTAACATTCATTTATTTATTTATTTATTATTTTTTTTTTTTGTGTGTGTGTGATATGACGTAGAGGTGCAATTGTTGGCAAAATGCAACATACCGTTTTAACTAAGAGCACGGATGCTAGCAAAAAGAATGCTGTTATAACTACCATTTTCGATCACAGAAACGAATAAGCACACCACACCATTTTTTTTTTTTTTTAAAAGAAGAGGAGAAAAGAAGATTTGTAAATAATTCTGTTTACTGACAGAACATGCATTGCAAAATCCAAGGTATATATAGAAAGAGTAGACATGAAATTAAAAACTTGGAGATAGTAGCGATGGGTTGTCCAAGAGTTAATAATCCAAATGGTCATTTAACTTTGTGAAAAGTTTTTACGGGATTACTAAACTTTAAAAATTACCGAAATTATCACTGAACTTTGTAAAAGATTTTCACGGGGTCATTGAACTTTGCAAAAGGTCTCTATAAAATCATTGAACTTAAAAAATCATCTCATTCATCACTAAATTTTGCAAAAAATTTCCTAGAAATTCACTGAATTAGTGATCCCTGGAAAACCTTTTGCAAAGATTAGTAATCCTGTGAAATTTTTTTGCAAAGTTTAGAGATGAATAAGATGATTTTTAAGTTCAATGACCCTCTGAAAATATTTTTCAAAGTTTAATGATCATTTGGGTGATTTTTAAAGTTCAATAACTCTGTGAATTTTTTTTGCAAATTTTAATAACCATTTGGGTTATTAACCCACTATCGAAAGATTCTACCGCAGATATAAGCAGTATCAGATTGGAGCTGCTATTTTAATTACTAAAATTATTTTGGGGTTATTATTTGGATTGGCAAATTAATCTATATTTTCATCTTTATTCAATATGTATAACATACCCCCGCAAGATGGTTAGTTTAAACAAATCAATCTTGAAATTCATTTGTTCATTTTTTGAGTCTCAATCGGATTTGATTGTTCGTTGAATTTAATAAGATCTAATACTATATTAAAACTTGTACTTTTATCTTAAAATATCAATCTTATTAAAAGCAGCAGTCCAAATCCTTATAAGTTAGTCTATATTTTTCATCTTTAATCGATATAGAATTTTATCCATTAACATATTATACCAAAAATGGATAAGGCCAGAATTATGCAATATTACAGCAACAACCTATGGTACCCCTCCCAGCACAAGAAAAATGACAAACAACTCTGCATTTTGATCGGGTTATGCTGTCCAAGTGGCATTTTTATCATTGGTTGGTGGAAACAACTTTTTTCACCAGCTAATGATTAGCACCCATTTGGCTCCCAATTTTTTGAAATGAAAATAGGTGAAATAATATTTTTTTTTTTAAAAATGGAGTGATTCAATTTACGTGTAATATTATTTTATAAAATATTGTATGGTTGAAAATAAAAGAAAGAAAAATGAAATGAAATTTAATGGGAGCCAAACGAGGCTAAATGCCACTTGAACATTATGTATACTAAAATGTAAATTTTGATATACATGTAAAACAAAATCTATCATATTGAAGTGGATTGTGCAATCTCGTAGGTCCTTTTACCTCTATCTTCAATTCTTCCAAGAATCATTTTAGCTAGAATAAAAAAATTAAATAAAAAAAAATTAAAAAAAAGAAGAATCATTTTGGCTAGAATAGCGATGGACCACAGCATTTATTGGAAGAATAAGATTGTACCTTGAAGCGGGGCTCAATTTCGAGAATAATAGTAAATAATAGAGAGAACAAATTTGTAATAATATTTATTTTAAGATAATATATTAACTATAGTTACCTTCAAAAGAAAAAAAAATAAATTACATTTTTCAAAGTCTTAAAATTTATAGAATTAGAAATTAAGCCCTTGTTTGGTTTAAACATTTTTTTAGTAAATATTGATAAAAATTGATAAAATATATTGTTAATAAAATTTGTGTATCTGACTAAATATGTGATTGAAAGAGAATTTAAAAAACGAAAATCTAACAAAGGTTAAATTTGAGATGTCAATAGCCAAGAAAGACAAATAAAAAACAAAATAATATTTTTAACGTGAATGATGAATGAAACTTTACTATAGAATAAAATACGCTGTAGACCAACAATAAACTTCAGACAAAATAAATTAATTTTATTGATGGGTCAAAATAAATTAATTTTGTTGATGGATCAAAATTGTTATTTTAATAATGTATAGGGATCAATATATAAGTCCTAATTCTAAAGATTACATTTTATAAATAACATACTCAATAAAATATTTCGAAAATTGGGTGATAAATAAATTTATTAAATATTAAATTATAATACAATATACATTAATTATTTTCACCCCATGCCACCTCACACCACTACACCACATTCCCTCCACCTCTCCACCGAAGAGGGTTATCGGCTCCAGCGACTGCTTCGGCAAACTGCTCTGACGATCGCTCAGACGACCCTTCTTTTTATTTATTTATTTATGCCAATGTCCCGTGATTAGTTCTATTGGATTTGTAACTTGTGCACATTGTGACCAGAGAAAAATGGAAGAAAGGACCACCCGCACCACCTTCACCTATCCACCACCACCACCACCACCACCACCCCAACCAACCACATACACAAAAATCAAAAGTAAAATCAAAACCACAGCACACCCTAACCCCACAGAAGCACTCCAGATTTGTCACTATTTGTGTTATTTATGACCAAATATGTGTTATATGTGATTAACTGTGACAAGATTCGCCTTTAGTGTGATTGTCTTTGATCGTCTAATTTTTTAATTGAATGTGACCAAGTCATTAACCTGCATTATCTATGATTAATTGTGACAAAATTGATCTCCAGTGTGACTAACTATGACCAAATTTAGTAACTATCTGTGACCGTGTCAATCTTAATTGTGACAATATATGATCAAGTCACAATCGATCATAATTAACACAAAATTGGTCACAGCTAGTTATAAATGCTTACTTGGTCACAGAGGATCACAAAAAACAAATCTGTACACATCGTAGACCCAAAAACCCGTCTGCCTTTCCCCCAAATTCCAAATTCCCTCTCTTTATCCTTTACCTCTTACTCTACCATCGTTGGCAATGGCCGCCGCTGCCCTGCAACAAATCCCTATCACTTTCCAGTCCCGGTCACCACCCTCCTCCTAAATACATTTCAGACCCACTGTAAATTCTCCCTCTCCATTGGCCTCAAGCTCCCAAAACTCACAACCTAGCCTCTCATCCAGCGCAGCGGCAGTGAATCTAGAGCCAGAATGATTAGCTTTGTCGTTGGAAGCTACACCTCTACCCTAGCTGATGTGAAATCCAACACCATGCTCAAGCAAACCTCCGCTGACATCGAAAAAATGGGGAAAATATTCTCCAATCCAGGTGTCCTAAATTTCTTCACAAAGCCAACAGTAGATGAAGAAAAGAAGAATGGAAATAGTCGATGGAATTACCAAATCTTCAAGCAGTGATCATTGCTTGGTCTTCATACGAAAAGGAACTCGCAGTGGTGCCTCACCTCGTGCACCAACGCCGAAATATCAATGGTTCTAAACAGTTGGCGCAACAAAGCCAGGATATAGATAGGGTACACCACCGTGCACGGTAGTTCTGAATCCACTAGCGCAGTGACCCCAAATATAGAGAGGCTATAAGTTGAAAGGGAAGAGAGGATAGAGAATGGGGAAAATTGATTGGGGGTGGATGGGTTCAGGGTAAGGGGTGTTTATTAGATTTGAATTAAATATTTATAATTAATAAATTCTAATTACCACTTGATATTTAAAATTTAAACTAATTCACCTTATTTATGATAATTAGCATGTAATTGTAGATTTCTAGGAAATTGGTGAAGTTTAAATGAAAAATCTATAAAGCTACCCTTTGACAAATGGTACAAATTATTTCATAATCATTTAAAAAATAAAAAAATTATTAAATATTTATAATTAATAAATTCTAATTACCACTTGATATTTAAAATTTAAACTAATTCACCTTATTTATGATAATTAGCATGTAATTGTAGATTTCTAGGAAATTGGTGAAGTTTAAATGAAAAATCTATAAAGCTACCCTTTGACAAATGGTACAAATTATTTCATAATCATTTAAAAAATAAAAAAATTACGAAGCTTATTGTTTGACAAGCAAAAGTTGGAACTTTAGAATCAATCCGAAACCAAGCTGTAAGCTAAACTAAACCTTAATTTCAATTATACGAGGTCAAATCCTCTCGCGCAACTCTCTTCTACCCTTCTAAGGATATACTGCAATACAATAAACCAATTGAGACCCTGCCAAATTCCTCGAGATTGATTTACTAAGCGCCTGAATTATATTACCACTGGACTAATAAGTTATAGAATTAATTTCTTAACACAACACCATTTTGATAATTTATCTACAATTTCAAACGCTGCTTGCACTAGACAGACCACAACAATTCCAAATTCATGCACTGACACATTCTTTTTCAAAAAAAATTACGAACCATTTAAGCAGTGATTCCATCAAGCTTTTGGGATGTCACATTCAACTTGAATTTCACCACCTGCATAACGATAATGTTCTGTAAGATTCTCAAAACAAATTTAATAGTGCGCGAAAAAATCAAAGAAAATCAAGAAGGCCAGCCGGGATTACTCTTTAAGTGTATCCCTAGATTTGCTTGAGCATCAGCTTCAGTATTTAAGTCCTGGTAAAAGATAGGAAAAGCCTTTGGGATGAGAAAGAAGTTGATGACATACAAGGAAATTGGAATAGAAATGAAAATTATGCATGAATAAAGAAGTGCAAATATGAACATTTCTTTGTGTATAATAATGGAACAAACAAGGGTGTAAAGTTCGGAGAGATTTTATTTTCCGAAACATGCGAAGAAAAGCCAACTTGCAGTGTTAATAAATGCATATCAAGCAAGAACAACGAGTTAAATACATGTACACATATCCAAAATATTCTAACGTATCTTTTCAGCCAAAATAACCAACAAAATATAAGAATCCTAACCTCATGCAGTCTATTCATTTAAGAATGAAGTGAAAAGGAAAATTTAACATACTCTTTCAACGTGACAGATCTCAAAAGTCACAAACTGATCCTTGAGCTCTTTAGCCACCTTGCATAACTCCGCCATATTTTGAACTTTTGTCCTCCATAGTCCCTGAACCTGTCCAATAGATATAGTTTCGGTAATAAGTGATAAAGAGATCATACCCGAGAAGGCACAGTAATATCTATGACCACCACCATTGCACCAGGGAAGAAACCCTCAAAGGAGATAGAACCAGATAATGGACAAACATTGCCTATATATTAGCATGATTTTCAGAGCACGAGCCCATAGATGATGTATTACACTTGCAAGCTTCTAGAGTCTAAAACTTCGTACATAGTTAGCCTTTATTTGGGAAAGATTATTAGTAACTTTTTCCAGAGGAATAGTGCTGGGGACCACGAAATATGTGGATAATAATAAGTAGTTTAGAATGTGTGATTGAAATTAGAGTTTGAATTTGACCGAAAAGTAGAAGTAACTTTTAATTTCCTAAAAATGTTTAACAAATAGAGGCTAAATCTACCGATTTTTTCTACTACTTTTTATTTAGGGAAATCTGCACCATCCTATCACTATACAACTTGTCACATTTGGGTCCGCAAACAATTTATTTTAACTTAGATTCCCCATTTTTATTTTTAGGTGCAAGAAGGTCCTAATGGACGGAAAAAGTTTGTATTTCTTTAAATGTCACGTGACTTGCACATGCTCTTCTTTTTTTAAGGGTATTGTGGTCTAGTCGGCACTTTTTTCAAAAAAAATAAATAAATAATGAAAAAGATAGGAAGTTTTAAAGATAATAATTAAATGATATAACTCAAGCTTTTTAATCAAGTGGTTTAACATTATATTAAAACATGCAAAACTCCTACGTTCAAATCTCACCACTACCAATTTAAATGAATTGTGCTCTAGTCATGTTTTAATAGGAAAGATGAATCCCGCCTACACGTGAGGGGCATGTTGAATATAATAGTTAAATATATATTTTGCGTCCTCTAATAGCTCAAGTTTTTAGATTAAGTGGCTCAACAAGAAGAAAAAGGAAAATAACCAAAAAGAGAGAATAAAACAACAAAATCTACCTCCAAATTCTACCGCCTCACCACTATCAACATTATCTCCACCACTACCGCCCCATAAACTCCTATCACAGTAGCCTCTCGTACCATCATCGCCAACCATTGACTTATCATAACTCTTCCTTACCATCTTTGCATCCAAACCCCTCTAAAATGTTGGCCAAAATCAATTTATGATCTTTTTCTTTAAGTTTCAATCTTGATTATACATATGATTTATGTTTAGATGTGCAAATATTTGTGGAGCAAAATCAGGTATAGCAAGTGGCCACCAACAATTGGTGCACAAATTCTTCTTTTTCAATCTTTGAAGTGATTAGATCTGGAAATAGATAGCAGAATTCTGGGTATTCGGAATTTACTATAGATTGCTGGGTTTTAGTTAAAGCTCCAGTTTTTGGATTCTTGGGGTTATGTTCCAATTCAAATCTGGGATTTTTTATTTCTATTTTTTTTATTTATTATTATTTTTATTTTTTTTGATGATTATGGGTGTTCGGGTCAGTTTACGCACACCTCGACTAATCCAATGGAGCCCTGAAGTTTACAGCCGTGTACTCACTTCAGTGACCCTGAGAGGACTCGAACTGATGACTGTTGGAGAGCAAACCCAATGTCTGTTCAAATCTGGGATTTTGACCTACCCTTTTTTGAAACTGAAGCAAATTACTAAGTTCCATAAGAATCCGATCCCAAAATCACTTGAGTATTCCAGCTTGTGAACAATCTCGCTCGTCATAATGTGATAACCTTGATTCCCGTTAATGGTGCATGTGGGTTTTTGCTCCATCCATATTTTAGGCTCTTAGTACATAATTCTGTTGAAATTGGTAGAGGCTTGGAGATGACTCGATAAAGACCAATGGTGAGGGCAGTAGGGGTGGCATCTGGTCGGGGAGGCATTGGGGTGGTGCAGGTGGCGGCTGAGGCGACAGTCCATAATGGATTAAGCAAGACACTATGTTTTCCTTCTTGTTTTCTCTTCTCTCTCTTTTTTTTTTTTTTAGTTGTTAAAAATATATTGAATTGATAGGATTGCTCCATAGGGATGGCATCTGGTCGGGGAGTCATTGGGGTGGTGCAGGTGGCCACTGAGGCGACAGTCCACAGTGGATGAAGCAAGACACTATGTTTTCCTTCTCGTTCTCTCTTTTTTCTTTTTCTTTTTTTTTCCAGTTTCTTCAATAGTTGTTAAAAATATATTGAATTGATAGGATTGCCCCTACTTAAAGTAATCATGTGCAAGGCACATTATTCTTTAATAGAATTTTGGCTGCATTCTATTCATTTGGACAGACTTGCACAAAAAATGAAAGATTGGAGATCTAAATGACAAAAAATTTTAAATGGGGACATAAGTCAGGAAAAGGGTATAGTTTGGGGGACTGTGGTGCAAATTTCACTTTGATTTATCTATGCTAATGGGGGAATATAGTAAGTAAAAAAAAAAAAATAAGGGATAGACATAGAGAGAGCTAGCGAGAGAGAGAGAGAATAATAGAATGAAGACGAAACTAGACCTGCATGCAGACAAGTTTAGAGTCTCCTTGAACCCGTATATGCTTGAACCCCTTTTGCAGAGCATATTTCAACCCCAAAATGGCACCGCGATATTCGGCCACATTATTAGTGGCAGTACCCACACCTTCACGCAAACGAAACACCTACCAAAATGAAGCTCAAGGTCATGCATATAAGCATTTTACAAATGTCAAAGTTGATCAAACAAGAAGTGGTTACCATGCTTCCATCTGCTGTTCGCAGCACAGCCCCTGCACCAGCTGGTCCGGGATTTCCCTTTGAAGCGCCATCAAATTCAATAATACAGGAACTCTGTAAATGTAGGGAACTGAAACTATAAAGTATGCTCTAAAGTCTGAACTATCATAAATTAAAAACCAAGGAAACATATTTATTAAAAAAATAAAGATAGATAAAGTAGAAAGACGCTTCGAACTTATGCCCGATGGGGAGAAATCCAAACTGGATCTAAGTAAAAGAACTATATTAAGGGCATGTTTGAGATATCTTCCGCTTCTTATAGAAGAGCTTTATGAGGAATTGGGCCAACATCCTCTAAACACACTTTTAATTAGACAAAGTACTCTTAAAAAATTATCCACCTAGGCACAAAAGAAGCTTTTGGGTTTTCAAAAGCCATGCCAAATGGGCCTTCAGATAAAATTGTTTTCCAATAGTTGACAGCCTAAAAAACCTCTTTCCACTAGATTACCAAATTATTACAAATTTGACACGAAGGCCCAGACTAACTGTATTCCTCCACTTAGAATCATAATTCAGCACTACAACGATTGAAGCACGCAGTATGAATCATAATTATCGTAGCACCAAGAGAGGTAGGAGAGGCATAGGGGGGATGGACCAATAGAAGCCTAAGAAAGACACTTCCAAGTTGGAACTCAAACCAAATACATTACTTAACATGATCAGAGAATTTAAGGCTTTCAAACTATGAATCAGGAAAAAAAATCATAACGAAATTAACACATGACAGAAACTTACACAATAAGAAGAAACTGGTGGAACTTGGAGGAAATCCAATTTGGCATGTTTTTGCTGAGGATTTATGGGAAATGAAGCCGATCCAACAACATCCTGCTGAATAAGAGAGATACTTGAGAAAAAGGAAGAAAAATCAATCCTGAAATGTTCACTCAAAACACATAAAAACAAATAAGTTCATTCTAGCCAAAAAACTTATCCAATCTTCTCTTACAACTAGACATGCCAAGAAAAATTTGAAAAAGAAAAGGTTAAACCAAATAAATTCAGCCAGTAAAATTTACATAAGCTTCTGCTAGATCATTTACATTCAGCAATTACCAGTGGCCTCTTCTCTAAAGGATTCTTGCCAGTGACTTTATCTTTAGAAGAATTTGGATGCTGTAAAAGAAAAAAAAATCATCAATCATGGAATTTCACAACAATATCTTGAGTTACACAATTACAATGTTATGTGGGTACAAACAGTAAGCAAAATATTTTGCCAACATAACACCAAGTTACATATGTATGTGTAAATAAAGTACAGTTCTGATTAAGTCCCAATCCAATATGGAATAGTGTATGTAACCCAAAAAAAAAAAAAAACCGCAGGAAAGCGGCTGAAAAGACTAAAAGAAGTATATTATTAAATATCCATCATCATATCTAGAAAAAAGGGTCAAAAGTTCACCCTTATTAAACATAACCTATAAGCCAGTAAAACTGTTCAGCTCCAACACAAATCCTTTCAAAGTGGAAATTTTAATAAATATTAAAAGCAAAATTGCAACATCAAACCTCCAACGTTTTGTTTTAGCAATAGAGAAATTGATCGTCATTGTCGATAACTGATATCGTGCAACTGAACGTCACTTCCTCAGCTAGAGTTCAAAATCCTAAGAATGAGAAGCCTAACATAATTTCTACACGTTAAATGGATCAGAAACCAACCTCTTTAAGAGATGGATTAGCGATTTCCAAAGAACGCTGCCTTCTTAGGGTGAAGAATAAAATTTTGACCGAGCTGCACTTACGGGGAGGATTCTTACAGATGTTTTACAGATCAATCACAATGGGTGGGGTCGGTGTTATTTTTGGCCATTTTTTAATGCATCAGGTCCCGCGTGGACCCGACCTCCATGAGAGTGACCTATAGAAAGTCTGTAACTTCATCATCTGTACATCTAGTTTAATCCATAAAATTTTACGTTGAACCTATAACCTAGTAGCATTGTCGATCTCCATTAGCAAATTTTGTTCATTTCAAGTGTTAAAAAGGCGCTTTCAACAAAAATTGTTAAAAAGTATAATTTTGTTGAAAGGACCAAACATAAACACAAATTTCTATAATTAAAGAAAAATTAAGAGAGCGAGAGAGAGAGAGAGAGAGAGCGAGGGTTCAGAAATCTAAAATTAATGGAAATTTTTTTTAGACCATCTGGGTGTTTTTTTACCTTAGAGTGAAATTAATAAATTATAGTGAAGCATTTTAAATAATACGAAATTGAAAATAACAAATCAGCTAAGAGAATAATTGTTTCTTGACAACAAATGGAAAACAAATTTTACTAACAATAATAATCACCGAATACACCAACAAAGTTGTAGATGGTCATAGATTTATTACACACAGTGTTAAAATGGTAATCTTTTCTGGTTCTACAGACGAGTTCACTTCGTCGTAAGAACAAAACATGAGATGAAATTCTAAAGTTGTCAAAAACATAGGAAGCAAAGACACAATGTCATGATTCGTTTCAAACAAAAATTATTGGATAAAATATATTGGAGGATGTATGTTCTCGCTTCAAGAGTTTAAGCTAGCTTAACATTTATTTATTTATTTATTATTATTATTTTGTATGTGTGTGTGTGAGAGAGAGAGAGATATGACGTAGAGGTGCAATTGTTGGCAAAATTCAACATACCGTTTTAACTAAGAGCACGGATGCTAGCAAAAAGAATGCTGTTATAACTACCATTTTCGATCACAGAAACGAATAAGCACACCACACCATTTTTTTTTTTTTAAAAGAAGAGGAGAAAAGAAGATTTGTAAATAATTCTGTTTACTGACAGAACATGCATTGCAAAATCCAAGGTATATATAGAAAGAGTAGACATGAAATTGAAAACTTGGAGATAGTAGTGATGGGCTGTCCAAGAGTTAATAATCCAAATGGTCACTTAACTTTGTGAAAAGTTTTTACAGGGTTACTAAACTTTAAAAATCACCAAAATCATCACTGAACTTTGTAAAAGATTTTCACGGGGTCATTGAACTTTGCAAAATGTTTCTATAAAATCATTGAACTTAAAAAATATCTCATTCATCACTAAATTTTGCAAAAAGTTTCCTAGGAATTCACTGAATTAGTGATCCCTGGGAAACTTTTTGCAAAGTTCAGTAATCCTATGAATTTTTTTTGCACAATTTAGAGATGAATGAAATGATTTTTAAGTTCAATGACCCTGTGAAAACATTTTTCAAAGTTTAGTGATCATTTGGGTTATTTTTAAAGTTCAATAATTCCGTGAAATTTTTTTGCAAATTTCAATAACCATTTGGGTTATTAACCCACTATCGAAAGATTCTACCCCAGATATAAGCAGTATCAGATTGGAGCTGCTATTTTAATTACTAAAATTAATTTGGGGTTATTATTTGGATTGGCAAATTAGTCTATATTTTCATTTTTATTCAATGTGAATAACATACCCCCGCAAGATGATTAGTTTAAACAAATCAATCTTGAAATTCATTTGTTCATTTTTTGAGTCTTAATCGGATTTGATTGTTCGTTGAATTTAATAAGATCTAATACTATATTAAAACTTGTACTTTTATCTTAAAATGTCAATCTTATTAAAAGCAGCAGTCTAAATCCTTATAAGTTACTATATATTTTTCATCTTTAATCGATATAGAATTTTATCCATTAACATATTATACCAAAAATGGATAAGGCCAGAATTATGCAATATTACAGCAACAACCTATGGTACCCCTCCCACCACAAGAAAAATAACAAATAACTCTGCATTTTGGTCGGGTTATGCTGTCCAAGTGGCATTTTTATCATTGGTTGGTGGAAACAACTTTTTTCACCAGCTAATGATTAGCACCCATTTTGCCCCCCAATTTTTTGAAATGAAAATAGGTGAAATAATTTTTTTTTTTTTTTTAAATGGAGTGATTCAATTTACGTGTAATATTATTTTATAAAATATTGTATAGTTGAAAATAAAAGAAAGAAAAATGAAATGAAATTTAATGGGAGCCAAACGAGGCTAAATGCCACTTGAACATTATGTATACTAAAATGTAAATTTTGATATTCATGTAAAACAAAATCTATCATATTGAAGTGGATTGTGCAATCTCGTAGGTCCTTTTACCTCTATCTTCAATTCTTCCAAGAATCATTTTAGCTAGAATAAAAAAATTAAATAAAATAAAATTAAAAAAAATTAAAAAAAAGAAGAATCATTTTTGGCTAGAATAGCGATGGACCACAGCATTTATTGGAAGAATAAGATTGTACCTTGAAGCGGGGCTCAATTTCGAGAATAATAGTAAATAATAGAGAGAACAAATTTGTAATAATATTTATTTTAAGATAATATATTAACTATAGTTACCTTCAAAAGAAAAAAAAAAAATTACATTTTTCAAAGTCTTAAAATTCATAGAATTAGAAATTAAGCCCTTGTTTGGTTTAAACATTTTTTCAGTAAATGTTGATAAAAATTGATAAAATATATTGTTAATAAAATTTGTGTATCTCACTAAATATGTGATTGAAAGAGAATTTAAAAAACAAAAATCTAACAAAGGTTAAATTTGAGATGTCAATAGCCAAGAAAGACAAATAAAAAACAAAATAATATTTTTAACGTGAATGATGAATGAAACTTTACTATAGAATAAAATACGCTGTAGACCAACAATAAACTTCAGACAAAATAAATTAATTTTATTGATGGGTCAAAATAAATTAATTTTGTTGATGGATCAAAATTGTTATTTTAATAATGTATAGGGATCAATATATAAGTCCTAATTCTAAAGATTACATTTTATAAATAACATACTCAATAAAATATTTCGAAAATTGGGTGATAAATAAATTTATTAAATATTAAATTATAATACAATATACATTAATTATTTTCACCCCATGCCACCTCACACCACTACACCACATTCCCTCCACCTCTCCACCGAAGAGGGTTATCGGCTCCAGCGACTGCTTCGGCAAACTGCTCTGACGATCGCTCAGACGACCCTTCTTTTTATTTATTTATTTATGCCAATGTCCCGTGATTAGTTCTATTGGATTTGTAACTTGTGCACATTGTGACCAGAGAAAAATGGAAGAAAGGACCACCCGCACCACCTTCACCTATCCACCACCACCACCACCACCACCACCCCAACCAACCACATACACAAAAATCAAAAGTAAAATCAAAACCACAGCACACCCTAACCCCACAGAAGCACTCCAGATTTGTCACTATTTGTGTTATTTATGACCAAATATGTGTTATATGTGATTAACTGTGACAAGATTCGCCTTTAGTGTGATTGTCTTTGATCGTCTAATTTTTTAATTGAATGTGACCAAGTCATTAACCTGCATTATCTATGATTAATTGTGACAAAATTGATCTCCAGTGTGACTAACTATGACCAAATTTAGTAACTATCTGTGACCGTGTCAATCTTAATTGTGACAATATATGATCAAGTCACAATCGATCATAATTAACACAAAATTGGTCACAGCTAGTTATAAATGCTTACTTGGTCACAGAGGATCACAAAAAACAAATCTGTACACATCGTAGACCCAAAAACCCGTCTGCCTTTCCCCCAAATTCCAAATTCCCTCTCTTTATCCTTTACCTCTTACTCTACCATCGTTGGCAATGGCCGCCGCTGCCCTGCAACAAATCCCTATCACTTTCCAGTCCCGGTCACCACCCTCCTCCTAAATACATTTCAGACCCACTGTAAATTCTCCCTCTCCATTGGCCTCAAGCTCCCAAAACTCACAACCTAGCCTCTCATCCAGCGCAGCGGCAGTGAATCTAGAGCCAGAATGATTAGCTTTGTCGTTGGAAGCTACACCTCTACCCTAGCTGATGTGAAATCCAACACCATGCTCAAGCAAACCTCCGCTGACATCGAAAAAATGGGGAAAATATTCTCCAATCCAGGTGTCCTAAATTTCTTCACAAAGCCAACAGTAGATGAAGAAAAGAAGAATGGAAATAGTCGATGGAATTACCAAATCTTCAAGCAGTGATCATTGCTTGGTCTTCATACGAAAAGGAACTCGCAGTGGTGCCTCACCTCGTGCACCAACGCCGAAATATCAATGGTTCTAAACAGTTGGCGCAACAAAGCCAGGATATAGATAGGGTACACCACCGTGCACGGTAGTTCTGAATCCACTAGCGCAGTGACCCCAAATATAGAGAGGCTATAAGTTGAAAGGGAAGAGAGGATAGAGAATGGGGAAAATTGATTGGGGGTGGATGGGTTCAGGGTAAGGGGTGTTTATTAGATTTGAATTAAATATTTATAATTAATAAATTCTAATTACCACTTGATATTTAAAATTTAAACTAATTCACCTTATTTATGATAATTAGCATGTAATTGTAGATTTCTAGGAAATTGGTGAAGTTTAAATGAAAAATCTATAAAGCTACCCTTTGACAAATGGTACAAATTATTTCATAATCATTTAAAAAATAAAAAAATTACGAAGCTTATTGTTTGACAAGCAAAAGTTGGAACTTTAGAATCAATCCGAAACCAAGCTGTAAGCTAAACTAAACCTTAATTTCAATTATACGAGGTCAAATCCTCTCGCGCAACTCTCTTCTACCCTTCTAAGGATATACTGCAATACAATAAACCAATTGAGACCCTGCCAAATTCCTCGAGATTGATTTACTAAGCGCCTGAATTATATTACCACTGGACTAATAAGTTATAGAATTAATTTCTTAACACAACACCATTTTGATAATTTATCTACAATTTCAAACGCTGCTTGCACTAGACAGACCACAACAATTCCAAATTCATGCACTGACACATTCTTTTTCAAAAAAAATTACGAACCATTTAAGCAGTGATTCCATCAAGCTTTTGGGATGTCACATTCAACTTGAATTTCACCACCTGCATAACGATAACGTTCTGTAAGATTCTCAAAACAAATTTAATAGTGCGCGAAAAAATCAAAGAAAATCAAGAAGGCCAGCCGGGATTACTCTTTAAGTGTATCCCTAGATTTGCTTGAGCATCAGCTTCAGTATTTAAGTCCTGGTAAAAGATAGGAAAAGCCTTTGGGATGAGAAAGAAGTTGATGACATACAAGGAAATTGGAATAGAAATGAAAATTATGCATGAATAAAGAAGTGCAAATATGAACATTTCTTTGTGTATAATAATGGAACAAACAAGGGTGTAAAGTTCGGAGAGATTTTATTTTCCGAAACATGCGAAGAAAAGCCAACTTGCAGTGTTAATAAATGCATATCAAGCAAGAACAACGAGTTAAATACATGTACACATATCCAAAATATTCTAACGTATCTTTTCAGCCAAAATAACCAACAAAATATAAGAATCCTAACCTCATGCAGTCTATTCATTTAAGAATGAAGTGAAAAGGAAAATTTAACATACTCTTTCAACGTGACAGATCTCAAAAGTCACAAACTGATCCTTGAGCTCTTTAGCCACCTTGCATAACTCCGCCATATTTTGAACTTTTGTCCTCCATAGTCCCTGAACCTGTCCAATAGATATAGTTTCGGTAATAAGTGATAAAGAGATCATACCCGAGAAGGCACAGTAATATCTATGACCACCACCATTGCACCAGGGAAGAAACCCTCAAAGGAGATAGAACCAGATAATGGACAAACATTGCCTATATATTAGCATGATTTTCAGAGCACGAGCCCATAGATGATGTATTACACTTGCAAGCTTCTAGAGTCTAAAACTTCGTACATAGTTAGCCTTTATTTGGGAAAGATTATTAGTAACTTTTTCCAGAGGAATAGTGCTGGGGACCACGAAATATGTGGATAATAATAAGTAGTTTAGAATGTGTGATTGAAATTAGAGTTTGAATTTGACCGAAAAGTAGAAGTAACTTTTAATTTCCTAAAAATGTTTAACAAATAGAGGCTAAATCTACCGATTTTTCTACTACTTTTTATTTAGGGAAATCTGCACCATCCTATCACTATACAACTTGTCACATTTGGGTCCGCAAACAATTTATTTTAACTTAGATTCCCCATTTTTATTTTTAGGTGCAAGAAGGTCCTAATGGACGGAAAAAGTTTGTATTTCTTTAAATGTCACGTGACTTGCACATGCTCTTCTTTTTTTAAGGGTATTGTGGTCTAGTCGGCACTTTTTTCAAAAAAAATAAATAAATAATGAAAAAGATAGGAAGTTTTAAAGATAATAATTAAATGATATAACTCAAGCTTTTTAATCAAGTGGTTTAACATTATATTAAAACATGCAAAACTCCTACGTTCAAATCTCACCACTACCAATTTAAATGAATTGTGCTCTAGTCATGTTTTAATAGGAAAGATGAATCCCGCCTACACGTGAGGGGCATGTTGAATATAATAGTTAAATATATATTTTGCGTCCTCTAATAGCTCAAGTTTTTAGATTAAGTGGCTCAACAAGAAGAAAAAGGAAAATAACCAAAAAGAGAGAATAAAACAACAAAATCTACCTCCAAATTCTACCGCCTCACCACTATCAACATTATCTCCACCACTACCGCCCCATAAACTCCTATCACAGTAGCCTCTCGTACCATCATCGCCAACCATTGACTTATCATAACTCTTCCTTACCATCTTTGCATCCAAACCCCTCTAAAATGTTGGCCAAAATCAATTTATGATCTTTTTCTTTAAGTTTCAATCTTGATTGTACATATGATTTATGTTTAGATGTGCAAATATTTGTGGAGCAAAATCAGGTATAGCAAGTGGCCACCGACAATTGGTGCACAAATTCTTCTTTTTCAATCTTTGAAGTGATTAGATCTGGAAATAGATAGCAGAATTCTGGGTATTCGGAATTTACTATAGATTGCTGGGTTTTAGTTAAAGCTCCAGTTTTTGGATTCTTGGGGTTATGTTCCAATTCAAATCTGGGATTTTTTATTTCTATTTTTTTTATTTATTATTATTTTTATTTTTTTTGATGATTATGGGTGTTCGGGTCAGTTTACGCACACCTCGACTAATCCAATGGAGCCCTGAAGTTTACAGCCGTGTACTCACTTCAGTGACCCTGAGAGGACTCGAACTGATGACTGTTGGAGAGCAAACCCAATGTCTGTTCAAATCTGGGATTTTGACCTACCCTTTTTTGAAACTGAAGCAAATTACTAAGTTCCATAAGAATCCGATCCCAAAATCACTTGAGTATTCCAGCTTGTGAACAATCTCGCTCGTCATAATGTGATAACCTTGATTCCCGTTAATGGTGCATGTGGGTTTTTGCTCCATCCATATTTTAGGCTCTTAGTACATAATTCTGTTGAAATTGGTAGAGGCTTGGAGATGACTCGATAAAGACCAATGGTGAGGGCAGTAGGGGTGGCATCTGGTCGGGGAGGCATTGGGGTGGTGCAGGTGGCGGCTGAGGCGACAGTCCATAATGGATTAAGCAAGACACTATGTTTTCCTTCTTGTTTTCTCTTCTCTCTCTTTTTTTTTTTTTTAGTTGTTAAAAATATATTGAATTGATAGGATTGCTCCATAGGGATGGCATCTGGTCGGGGAGTCATTGGGGTGGTGCAGGTGGCCACTGAGGCGACAGTCCACAGTGGATGAAGCAAGACACTATGTTTTCCTTCTCGTTCTCTCTTTTTTCTTTTTCTTTTTTTTTCCAGTTTCTTCAATAGTTGTTAAAAATATATTGAATTGATAGGATTGCCCCTACTTAAAGTAATCATGTGCAAGGCACATTATTCTTTAATAGAATTTTGGCTGCATTCTATTCATTTGGACAGACTTGCACAAAAAATGAAAGATTGGAGATCTAAATGACAAAAAATTTTAAATGGGGACATAAGTCAGGAAAAGGGTATAGTTTGGGGGACTGTGGTGCAAATTTCACTTTGATTTATCTATGCTAATGGGGGAATATAGTAAGTAAAAAAAAAAAAATAAGGGATAGACATAGAGAGAGCTAGCGAGAGAGAGAGAGAATAATAGAATGAAGACGAAACTAGACCTGCATGCAGACAAGTTTAGAGTCTCCTTGAACCCGTATATGCTTGAACCCCTTTTGCAGAGCATATTTCAACCCCAAAATGGCACCGCGATATTCGGCCACATTATTAGTGGCAGTACCCACACCTTCACGCAAACGAAACACCTACCAAAATGAAGCTCAAGGTCATGCATATAAGCATTTTACAAATGTCAAAGTTGATCAAACAAGAAGTGGTTACCATGCTTCCATCTGCTGTTCGCAGCACAGCCCCTGCACCAGCTGGTCCGGGATTTCCCTTTGAAGCGCCATCAAATTCAATAATACAGGAACTCTGTAAATGTAGGGAACTGAAACTATAAAGTATGCTCTAAAGTCTGAACTATCATAAATTAAAAACCAAGGAAACATATTTATTAAAAAAATAAAGATAGATAAAGTAGAAAGACGCTTCGAACTTATGCCCGATGGGGAGAAATCCAAACTGGATCTAAGTAAAAGAACTATATTAAGGGCATGTTTGAGATATCTTCCGCTTCTTATAGAAGAGCTTTATGAGGAATTGGGCCAACATCCTCTAAACACACTTTTAATTAGACAAAGTACTCTTAAAAAATTATCCACCTAGGCACAAAAGAAGCTTTTGGGTTTTCAAAAGCCATGCCAAATGGGCCTTCAGATAAAATTGTTTTCCAATAGTTGACAGCCTAAAAAACCTCTTTCCACTAGATTACCAAATTATTACAAATTTGACACGAAGGCCCAGACTAACTGTATTCCTCCACTTAGAATCATAATTCAGCACTACAACGATTGAAGCACGAAGTATGAATCATAATTATCGTAGCACCAAGAAAGGTAGGAGAGGCATAGGGGGGATGGACCAATAGAAGCCTAAGAAAGACACTTCCAAGTTGGAACTCAAACCAAATACATTACTTAACATGATCAGAGAATTTAAGGCTTTCAAACTATGAATCAGGAAAAAAAATCATAACGAAATTAACACATGACAGAAACTTACACAATAAGAAGAAACTGGTGGAACTTGGAGGAAATCCAATTTGGCATGTTTTTGCTGAGGATTTATGGGAAATGAAGCCGATCCAACAACATCCTGCTGAATAAGAGAGATACTTGAGAAAAAGGAAGAAAAATCAATCCTGAAATGTTCACTCAAAACACATAAAAACAAATAAGTTCATTCTAGCCAAAAAACTTATCCAATCTTCTCTTACAACTAGACATGCCAAGAAAAATTTGAAAAAGAAAAGGTTAAACCAAATAAATTCAGCCAGTAAAATTTACATAAGCTTCTGCTAGATCATTTACATTCAGCAATTACCAGTGGCCTCTTCTCTAAAGGATTCTTGCCAGTGACTTTATCTTTAGAAGAATTTGGATGCTGTAAAAGAAAAAAAAATCATCAATCATGGAATTTCACAACAATATCTTGAGTTACACAATTACAATGTTATGTGGGTACAAACAGTAAGCAAAATATTTTGCCAACATAACACCAAGTTACATATGTATGTGTAAATAAAGTACAGTTCTGATTAAGTCCCAATCCAATATGGAATAGTGTATGTAACCCAAAAAAAAAAAAAAACCGCAGGAAAGCGGCTGAAAAGACTAAAAGAAGTATATTATTAAATATCCATCATCATATCTAGAAAAAAGGGTCAAAAGTTCACCCTTATTAAACATAACCTATAAGCCAGTAAAACTGTTCAGCTCCAACACAAATCCTTTCAAAGTGGAAATTTTAATAAATATTAAAAGCAAAATTGCAACATCAACAACTTTACGTACTTAAAAGGAAGAGTTGTGAAGTATTCAAACTAAATTATCTTCCATAAAAAGTGCTTGTTTGGATATCGTTATAAGTTGCTGAAATTATAATGTGATAGAAATAAGGGGTGTATAAATTGGTCGCAGTTGTAGGTCCTACGAAATGTGGCGTTAAAATTAAAGTTTGACTTTGACTTTTTAAGTTAAAAGAAGATTATAATGAAAGGAAAACAAGCCCAAAGTCAAGAATCTAACCCGAAAAGGGCAAGCAACAACTTTGCCAAAAAGATCGTCTCGAACATTACTGGCATCAATAGAATAAATTGCATTCTTGAGTCCGTGAGAGGAAAGGTATTGCTCAGCTTCTCTAGACAAGCCATAACCCTTAAACACACTTACAGAAGGATCATTCACCTGAAGGAAATACCATATAACAATTTTGTAAACAGTTTTATGTATATACACTTAAAACTTTTGAATGGACTACTTCAATAAAAATAGTTTTAAGTGTATGTGCAGTAGAAAAGAAACCCAGATGATTCCAAATAAATCAACCCAAAATTCTTCCACTTCTACGCTATCTGAAAGAACGGTCACAAGAATGATAAAAGAGAAACTGTTGAACAAATATATGAAAAGCATAACCTACAAACAAGTGCATGATACGCACAAAGATATCCATAGAGATAGATAGATGTACAGATAGACAGAGAGAGCATATAACCATGATATGCAAACTTTAAGGCGTGTTGGAAATTGGGATATCAAAAGGATAAAGTCAAAGATAGAATAGCATAGAGAAGGACCCCATTGATCTTTGGAGCTTCTAGAATAGCATAGAGAAGGACCCCATTATTGATCTTTGGAACTTCACCCTCGAAGCATTAAACAAAGAAAACTTAGGAGCGACAAGTGATGACTTCTTAATTTGTTATATCTTCTGTTCACTTTCATAATTCTCTAGTTGTCAGAACATTTTTGAGTTTCAATTTCAGATTAGCAAGACATTTTCTTTTGCATTCATTTTTCTTCAAAAATTTATAAATCGAGTAATGGATTAGAAGGCTAAAATACAGGTATCCATATTGCTAGAAAACAAAAGAGAAAGATAAAATCTTTATCCTAATCTTACCCATCCTTTTAAAGCCAATGTTTGAATTCTTCCACAAAATTTTCGTGCATTTCAATGCAGGACAATGTCGTTGAATTTCTAACAAAAGAGTTCAGAAACAAACGTAATGAAGGACAAAATAAAAATAGACAAGCAACATGGCCCACTGAATATTAAAATGCATGTGTGTAATAGTCAACTAAACGAAAAAAAATTACCCAAAAAACGGTATTCGAAGCCTTTACTCTTAGCAAGAGATTTCACAAACAAAAAAAATGCTGCCAGAATTTTCAGTAAAAATTGGCCAAGCGAAATGTAGAGGAAAATTACAGAAGATCGAAGAACTGCTTGAAGATCACTTATGCTTTTATAGACCCCAACATTGTCCCCTTTTCGTACAACATAAAAAGCGTCCTTCTCATCCGCCATTTTTGTTTAGTCTTCAACTTCAACCACCTGTACCAAATCCGACTAAATCCGACTAGAAATATGTATTAACACTAATGACCCACTCCAGGAATACCTAGCTTCAATTATTCCCATTAAATCCATTAACAATGCGAGAAGTAATCGAAAACCCTAATTATTAGCAGAATAACAATTATGTGAGATGCAGAATCAATAATTCAACTTGTTTTCCTTAAATTCGAAGAAAAATACAGCTAAATTGCAAGAAAAAAGCAAAAGGAGAATATCTGACCTTTTGAGCTCCGATTTCAGTGCGTGTGGTAAAAGGAAATTACAAGTCTCGTAAGGTCATGTATACAGGGGCTTCGTGTTGGGAAGTTGTTGGAAACCAATATGGGCCTCGTGAGTCCACTACACTAGCCCAGCATGTACGATGAAGTGCAGCAATCAAACAGAAATATTTGAAAGTAACACAAGCAAAAGTTCTTGGATTCGAATCAAAATCTTCCACTTCTCACATCAGGTTTCATTATCAATAATTTTTTTTGAAGGAGTGGACGTGATAATTACGAACTATATAGATAATAATGCGTAGTAATTTTAATATTTGACTTTTATTGAATTATAAAAATAACGTTTAAATTATTAATGTTTAAATACGAAGATCGTGATTTCAAGATTTGAAATTTCATAGAGGATTTACAATTAGCCCTCGTTTGTTGTAGATTAAAATCACATTTTTTTGTAAATTTTGATTAAAAATAATGAATTATGTGGTTGGAAAGTTGTGAACTCCATGAAATGAGTTAAAATTAATAATTGATTTTGACTTGAAATTAAAATTAGACTTTAATGAGAAACAAATAGGGTCTCAGTAATGTGATGCTTAGTGTAATGCTCCAAATCTTAGTGCCTATCTGGAGGCGATTTTGGTCCAAATTTTAATCCAAAATATTACCGTTGTGGGACCCTCATTTGCAGACAACACTGATTGCACAGGTGCATAATTATCGGAATGCCATTATGTACATTAGAATGAATTTTAAGTGGGGGTCAAATTGGTAATCTTCCGTATTTTAGTCAAAAAGGTTTCTACCTCCCTGACACACCAACGATCATTTTTTTGCTAAAAATTCATTCAAAATCGCTCTCAGACACGCACTTAATATTTGGTTTTGTTATAAAAACATATTTCTTAAGTTTTCAAGAATTCAGGTTAATTTTTTTTTTCTTTATTTAATTTTTACTTTGTAACTTATATTATGATAAGTTCCAACAATTAATGAAAATAAATAATTTGAGTAAGCTAGCTTCAGTTTGATAAACGAAACTAAAATGAACGATTGAAATGGAGGTTAGCATATGTTAACAGAGTTCAATCCAGCAATGCGATACTTAATGATCAAATTTAGTTGAATCATTTTTCAGATTCAAAATTTTATGAAATTTTTACAATATTTCTAAACTTTCAAATACGACATAATAAAATTTCAGAATTTTGCAAAATTATTTGTGCACTCAAGTGGACACTCAAACGAATGCAAAAATCTATTATCGGGTACATTGATCACAGGCACGTAAAATGGCATAACTTATTCTACGAACTTTCAATTGACTTGATTATAGAGCCAGCAAACAAAGGATTCATAGGGCTTTCACACCTCACTGGTCTCATTCAAAAATTTGAAAAAGAATCATGGTGACAATTTGAAAATAAGATAGAAAGCTATAATTTTTATTTTAAGTCTTTAGATGTCCAAATCCACACACTTAGCATTTTAGCTTATTAATATTTTAATACATTTTTCTTTCTTTTCTTTTTAACTACACATTTTTCATTAAAATAATATTATATGTAAATCGAAAACTTTTCATTCTTTTTCAACTCTTCATTTTCAAAAAGAAAAAAAAACTATTCCAAAAAATTAAAATATCAAATAATGGGGCCAAACGGGGGCTTAATCATATTTTCCCCTGCATAACTTCCTGAAATATTTCCCATACAATCGGTTCTTTTTCCCGAATTTTACTCTTAGCAACTCCTATGTTCGAAGCAAGATGTTGTCTAATTAGATCACGAAATTTTAAAACTTATACTTACATGCCCTACTAACATAATTTAATAAACATCAATACGTTGAATTATATAAAAATCTAATTTCATTCCCAAATGAAATATGAGTTCAAATACAAATAATCTTTTAAATCTATTATCATAATCTTGACATTATAACATATGATGATAATTTCTACTCATGAGAACCTTGGTCTTTGATTTTATTTCTCTTCCCTTAGCTTCTCCACAATCCATAGAATCTCCATCCATCCATGATCCATTTTCAATTTGCAAATTTTTATAAAATAGGAGTGTGTATAATGCCCAGCAAAATTTTCATGGGTATATTTCCCCTTGAACAAATTTGCATATTTACATGTAAAATATAAAAATTTTATATCATAGACATTTTTATGTAGTTGGATTGCCGATGAAATCCTTGATTTCAGAAAATCCCTTGAGATCGTAGAAATCGGTTATGGCTATAAAACTTAAACATTTACGATTTATAGCTTGCAATTACGTTTATAGATATAAAATATGCATAGACATATTCAAAAGGAAAAAAAAAAATCAACTTGCACCACCTACCTTGATTCTTAATATGAAATGACAAATCATTTGCATTGAATAATCAAACTTGTAGTAACTTCCTCTTCTTGTAATCTCCCTTTCTAGTAAAAAACTAAATGGAAAAGTTATGTAATATTAAGCCGCTGTTTGGTACCGATTAAAATATAAATTTTAATCTTAGTCAAAATCAACAATTTATTTCAACCATATATTTTATGGATCCCATAACTTTTCAATCACACATTTCATCAACTTCTATCAAAATTTACTTAAAATCTAATTTTAATCCTCATCAAACAGGGGTTAAATCTTGTAAAAATGAGTTTTCAAGTGGGAATTTGCAAATATATATATCTGCATGGTGATTTAAAGCTTGGTTGCTTATGTGAAATACTATGGACATGATCATTGTGACAATCTATTTATTCATTAAATCTCTGTACTCAAATTTACTTAACTAATGTCATAAATTTTTGGATTTTTAAATAACTTATGTCTTAAAGTTTCATTATCTTAAATGAGTTGACCCTCAAGAACTCATTTCTTAATTGGGCCATACCAACCAATTTAAGAATATAAAATTAAATTTTTTACATCCCTCATAAACTTAAAAGAAATTTGTACTCGAAATTACCTTACTTGGCTTTAATTTCTACTCCTGTTTTCCAAGTAAACTTCTCTATCCCGTGATGTCGCCACTAAATCTCAACCAATGGAATTTGCTTGTCCTTAGTTTTTGTACCTTTTTGTCAAAAATAGCAACTAGAGCTTCTTCGTAAGATATGTCTTTCTAAATATCTAATATTTGATAATTCACCACATGACTTGGGTCCTGCACATACTTTCTTACCATAGACACATGAAACACATCATGCATGATGGAAAATTCGGGCGATAGAGGTAACCGATATGCTGCGTTATCAACCTTGTTAAGAATTTCCAAAAGTATTATACAACACAATCTCAACTTACCTTTCTTATCAAACATTAGTATATCTTCATAGGTGTCACTTTCAAGAAGACCATCTAAAACAATGAATACTAGGAATCCATGTAATTTGACTATCTTTCAATATATTATTGTGCTAATTGATCCATAGTAAATGTCATTTTTACTTGCAGAAAGTGAGATATCTTCTTCAGTAAGTTAACAATTAACTAAATAGCATTATTTCCTTTCATCGACTTCAAAAAATTGATACAAAATCCATAGAATTATGTTCTTATTTCCATTCTAGTATCTCCAAAAGATTTAATAATCTTGACAGTCTCTGATGTTCTGCTTCACTTGCTGACAAACTATGCATTTACAAGCAAAAACTCTGATTATTCTTTTCATGTTCTTCTACTAGATAATATCCTAAAGGTCTGTATACATCTTTGTACCCCTGGGATGAGCGACTTACATGGTGGAGTAACTTCTTCTAGAATTTTTTCTCTCAATTTTTCGTCCTTATGCGCACAAAGCCTTTCTTTGAACTTTAATACCTTATTTGACGGTAGCTCAAAATCCTTCCCCTTATCTGATCCAACCTCAGTCCTATCTTCTCAAAATATTGAACCAATTGATCTTCATCTACTACCAAATTTGCCAACTGGCCTCCTAACTTCCTGCTTAAGGTATCTATAATCGCATTAGCTTTACCGGAATGGTAAAGTATAGTGTAGTTATAGTCCTTTACCAATTCCAAGTCTCCAACCATCTCATTTGTCTCATATTCAATTCCTTTGGGATGAAGATATTTTTGAGACTCTTATAATTTGTATAGATCTCACACTTGCTTCCATATGATAGTACCACCATAACTTTAATGCTTGAACCACCGCATCAAGTTCAAAATAATACTTCTTTAAATTCTACTCACGTCGTTTTATTTATCTTGAAGTATAGGAAACCACATTTCTATGTTGCATTAAGACACAACCTAAGCTTTGCTTAGATGTATCGCTATAGATCATAAAATCCTTTTAACCTTCTGAAATTGTTAACATTGGTGCAAAGACCAATCACCGTTTCAACTCTTGGAAGCTCTGTTCACGATTATCTAACCACTGAAATTTTACTCTTTCAAGTTAATTGAGTCTTTGGTCCAATTATTTTAGAAAAGCCTTCAATCAATCTTCAATAATAGCTAGCTAAACCTAGAAAATTTCAAATGTCGTCCACATTAATTGGTTTGTTCCACTTAGATACTGCATTTACTTTAGTTGGGTCAACTTTAATCCCATGACTAGTAAGTACATGACCAAGAAACCTTGCTCGATCAAGCTAAAGTTTACACTTCTTGAACTTAGCATACAACTTTTCCTTTTTAGAATCTCTAACTGTTTTAAGATGTTCCTTATGCGGATCTTCGTCTTGTAAATATATCAAAATATTATCAATAAAGACTTACAAATTGATCAAGAATTTGATGAAACATCCTATTCATCAAATCTATAAACATTGTTGGAGCGTTGCTTGGATAAAATGGCATCATAATAAATTCACAATGACCATATCAAGTCCTTAGAGTTAACTTGGGTATATAACTTTACTTAATCTTTATCTGATGATATCAATCTTAGAGAACACCTTCGCCCCTCTCAATTGGCTAAATCTTCTATTCTCGATAGAGAATACTTTTTTTAATATCGAGTTTATTCAGTTCACGATAGTCTATACACATTTTCATGGTACTCTTCTTTTTTAACAAACAACACCAATGCTCTCCATCAAAAAACATTGAGTCAAATAAACCTATTATCTAACAATTTCTAAATCTGAAATTTTAATTCTTCCAGCTCTTTTTGGCGCCATTCGATAGGGTACTTTAGATATTGGCACCGCTCCAGGAACTAGGCTCAAACTCGAGTTGCTTGTTGGGTGGTGTAACCAGATTTTTTTCTAAAATTACATCT